ACACAAGACTCAACCAACTGTGTAACAATCCTCGTGGCTTTAGGAAAAGCAAAGATTTCTTAAACAGATTCAGATAATTCCAATTGATAAGATGAAAAATAAATTAGGTTATGAAAATGGAGTACTTCCGTTCATCAAAAGATATCATTTAATGGAGAGAGGTAAACTACAGAGTGGGAGAAGTTTGCAGAGCCTATGTACTGGGAATGAAGGATTTATATCTACAATATGTAAAGAACTCATATAAATTAGAAGAATGGCAATCCAAGAGAAAAATGGGCCAAAATTTTTAGCAACTTCATAAAAGAGGGTATCTGGGTGGCAGACAAGCCTAAGAAACAGAGTTAACAATATTAGTCATCAGAAAATGACAAAACCCTGAGGTTAACAGTAGGTATAGGTGAGGATGTGGACCACCCTAAGTCAGATACAAGACCACCTCCTGACAGAAGCTGAACCTCAGTCTCCAGTCTAGGACTGAGCCCCATGACTCACCAATTTACCTCCGAAACACACAAAAACAGCTCCACAAGTATTACCCATAACAGCCCCAAAGTTAAAATGGCCCAATGCAATCATTAGTGAAGCAGATCAATAGACTATAAAGCACTGACCGTCAGTGGAGGTAGTCAGCTACTGGTACCCCACAGCCCAGCAGAACTTCACAAAACAATGCTCAGACCATACACAAATGAGGCATGAAGTTTCTTTCAAAATGAGGCAAAATAAAACCTTGTGTGAAAAACACAGAAGCGCTGGGCAAGGCTGGGGTGATGACCCCAAGCAGTAGGAACATGAGTGGCTAATGAACAATGAGTCTACATGGAGCTGCTTTATGCTTTTGCGGATTAACTTCAATGCTTCATCAAAGCTGAGGTTACAAACATACACCCTGAGTATGGGGAAATGACTCAGTAAGAAAGTGCTTTGTACAAGCATGAGGACCTGAGTTCAAATCCCCAACACCCTCAAGAAAAAGTGATATGCGGACTGAACCCCCTATTTCAACATGAAAAGATGAATCAGTGGGTCAAGGTGTCTGCTACCAAGCCTGAGTTCAATCTCTGGGATCTGCAGAGTAGAACAAAAGAACCAACTACCACAATTGACTTCTGACTTGTATATTCAAGCCATGGCATTTACACACACACACAAGAAGGTAAAGTAGCTATATATGTGTGTTGATCCTGTAATCCCAGAACTGGGAGTGGGAGGAGGATCCCTGAAGTTCACTACCCAGCCAGTTTAGTCAACTAGTGAGCTCCAGATGTAACGAGACCCTATCTCAAAAACAGGGAGACTAAAAAGGCAGAAGAAGAAAGTAATAAGCAGTAGAAGAAACATCTGATATTATCTACCTCTGTCCTCCACACATGCATGCACAGGTACACACACACATAAAATACTTCAGCGTCTTCATTCAGCACTCAGGACAGATCACAGTGGGACTCTGGAAGGTGAGGCCTCAAAAACTATGAATGTTCAAATTGACTTCCTTTATCAAGACCACGATCTGGAAAGAACAGAAGTAAAATACCAGTGTGTGGGATAAAAAGTGCTCACCTCCTGACCCTGACAAGGAAGAGCACAGACAACCTCCAACACTACCTCAGGCTTCAGGGGCAGAAGGGAAAGGTGTACCATGAGTGGAATGAGGGGAAACACCTTTTACCAACCTGCAGAGCCAGTACTCAGCTCCAGCCATAGTCACCAAGCAAATGTGGAGCCAGGACAGCAGGCTGAAACTTAAAGTAGAAACCCCTATTTGAACATGAAACTCCACAATTTTTAAATGTTAGAAACATAAAAATAAGTCAGATATGGTGGTGCACACCTTTAATACTAGCACTCAGGAGGCAGAGGCAGATGTATCTCTGTAAGTCCAAGGCCAGCCGGGTCTACAAGGTGAGTTCTAGCACAGCCAGGGCTACACAGAAAAACCTTGGCTCAAAAAACATGATGGGTAGGTAAGTAGGTAGGTATGTAAGTAGGTGGGTAAGAAGATAGATAGATAGATAGATAGATAGATAGATAGATAGATAGATAGATAGATAGACAGACAGACAGACAGACAGACAGACAGACAGACAGACAGACAGACAGAAAGATAGATGAACAGGTTACTAAACTCAGTCATGCCCAACCTCAAAGGACCAAATGCAAGCCACATCCTTGGCAGGAACACAGCATTCTCCACCAACATGATCATTGTTTTCAGTCATTATTCTGAGGTGGAGCTTCTCTCTCGTCATAGGAAAACTAATTTGTTTTTTGCTGTGGTGCTGGGGACTGAACATATGAACTCGCACATATTAGGCAATCTACACAGAAAAACCCTGGCTCAAAAAACATGGTAGATAGGTAGGTAGGTAGATGACAGATAGATAGATAGATAGATAGATAGATAGATAGATAGATAGATAGATAGATAAGCAGGTTACTACCACTGAGCTAGTGCCAACTTGAAAAAGATCATGCTTCTCATCTGTAAGCAGAACTAACACAGCAGCCTCCTGAGCTCTGTCATTATTCGGTAAAGCGAAGACACTATCAAATACTCAGAAGACGGCTAAAATGTGGGCTGCCCAAACTTGGGCTGGATGTTTTTCACAAGCCCCTACTACCCTTCTGTGAGGTGGGACCTATGACTGAGAAAACAGAGGGTCAGGAAAGAGACGTCTCCACGAGCTCCTGTCTGACAAGTCACTAAGATGTCAACCCGGTCCAACTTAAGCCACAGGTCACAACCTTTATGCTACATCATGGTGAGGGGACCTCCTATCTCCCCAGCACTTCTCTCTGGATTTCATGCTTCTCATTCTGTCCCATGGCTCTCAGACAAACCACAAGAAGCCACTGACCTGATCTCAGCTGATAAACCACCAGCCTCCTCCCTTGGGAGACTTTTAATCACTCCCTGCAAGGAAAGCAGTCTTAATCAGCCAAGGCCAGTCTAGCAGCCAGTGAATGGTTAATTAAGGCAGCCAACAGAGATGACAAACGAAGTCTTGGCAGCCACCCCAGGACTACACTCCGTTTCCAGCCTCTAATTGGCACAGAGAGCTGTGCATCCAAATCAGCAGAAAGCGGCAGTGCCTGCGCCCCCACCTTCTGAGGCGCAGACATAAAATGCATGCTAAGCGGAGGCAGGTGGGGCACCCAGGACCCTACAAAGGCACCAGGCTTTCCTGATTATCAGAGCTAAGGAACAAGAGGAAAAAATCCTAGAGTGTGCGGGAACAGAGAGCACTAATCTCCCTGTGTGGCCAAAAGGTCACAGCCTGAGGAGAAGGTGGGGGAGATGGTCAAAGTTCAATATGTTGGGGAGGCAGGGTCACTCATCCGAGCAATACAAGCCAGTGTTTTCAAGGAGGCCATCAGCACATCCTGCCAACCCCCTCAGAGACCATACTTTCCCTGTGTGCTGAAAGTACTGAAGCTCAAAGCGAGCTCCCACAAGGTCACAATCACCCCATATCCAGCTTGCCTCTGTGGCCAGCAGCTGACCTCACCCACTGGAAGCCCCATGGAAACAAAGAGATGACAACAAAGAGAAAAGGAGGCTCAGCAAATTCAGGGGACCCTGGGAAAATCTTACCAAGCTGCCCAAACTGATCCTCGCTTAGGAAGGCTTGGGGTGCATCCCAAGAAAGCTACGAGACTGCACTATATACTAAACACTAACATCTGAGTGGGCAAGGCTGCTGGCAGAAGCTGACATCAGACAGAGGCCTTTGTACCAGATTCTCTTGGTTAGCCCCTCCTTACCTGTTTGTGTGGGTTCGGTTTGGCTTTGGGTTGGTTTTTGAGACAGGGTCTCATACAGCCCAGGCTGCCCCCAACCCCCTAGTGCTGCAATTATGGGCATGCACCGCCATGTCTGATTTTTTTGCTGGCTTTTAAAGGAGACCTTGAAGCACTAAAGAAAATTCATCATGAAACTCCGAAGTGAAAGGAATTCCCCCAGAACCAATCTTTTGATCCAAAGAACCACATTCATTTCTGAATATGAGCTACTCATTAGATAAACAGAAATCAAAAGCTTGCTTGAGAGCTGAAAGAAAATAAGGAAGGCCTAGAACTAAGTACGGTGTCACCCAGCATGGAGGGGACTGGGGCAGGAGGACTGCAAGCTCAAGACCAAAGATTGAAGGTCCAATAGCAGGCAGCCCCACTGGTGAGGCCATATGTCATAAAGGCTTCTGACAAGAATGTGTGTACAAGGTACATAGAGACCCCTTGCCAGATTTCCACAGATACCCCCAACCCACACATCTGCTCTGATTTCTGGTGTGAGGAGGGCTAGTGGGAAGACAGCATGTTTCTCCTCGGCAGCAATGTTTGTGTCAGCATGGGGATAAGGAAGAGTCAGGGACTGGAGAAGACACCCACAAGAAAGGTATGTGAAGGATGCAGAGATGCCTGGCCATCTCCATAGTTCATGGCCAACTCATTTCCAAGTTCATGGCCAGAGCAAAACATCCACCTGCAGGCTTCCTCACCCACCCGGTGGGAGCAGCGAAGGCCTATGCTGCTTCTGGGAAACAGAGTTAGCTTACATCCAAGGTTATCAAAGAGCCAAGGTCCTACTAAGCACCAAGTGCCCCTATCTTCGGGGACAGTCTTTCACAACACTGAAATGGATAACCATAGAACTCTGAACTTGGAGATCTTTGGGGTTTCTGGTGCTGCTAAAGACATTTAATTATGCAATGCCATGCTATCCCCATGCATCAAATTAAGACAGATTATTAGCTTCCCAATAACTGCCACACCATAATAAGCACCGTGGCTGTAGGCCACCAAACCCAGAGGTGCTGGCAACAAGGAGTACAAAAAGTAACTTCATTTAAATGAAGGGGCCAGACAACACTATTTCCCTTGTCTTTTTTTATTCCATAGATTTCTGGGCACACAAGCACAATCCCAGACCCACACAGTGAGCCTGCTATGGAAAGACAGACAAAACTAGCAGCAAGGCAGAAGTAGACATCAAGTACCTGTCTCGGTTTTGCTGGCGAAGCCTGCGGCCTGCTTGATGGCTGCTGCTGTAAGCGCTAATCCTCGGCTCCTCTTCATGCCATGCTGAAGGACAGCTTCAAACTGGGCGCACAGACAGGTCACCCTGCAGGAGAAGCAGGTGGGAAGTGAGCGGCAGCAGAATGGGTTCCAGGGCTGCATGTGAGCAGCCAGATGTGGCTCCAGGAGACACCTGGATTTGCAGACTTGGAAGCTCTCAAAGCCCCACCTTCATTTATGTTTGATTCACGTATGTCAGGGATGCCCTCTGAACCAGTGCTGGAGGAACCTGGGAAAGGGTACCAACCAGCAGCTGATGCAATGCCAATTTAAAAACAAATCAATCCTGCAGGGAAGGGCTGGTGGTAACTACATCCAGTCCACAGGTCTCAACTCTTAGTTCATATCACACAGTTTACAAAGCAAAAAGCAAGATAATATTCTCAGAGGCTAAATCCACCAGCCTGCCCAGTTGGAAACTATAATTTCATGGCCTGTTACTTTCTGCCATGTGAATTCTTATTCTTGTTCCTTATTGCAGTGTAAGAGATTACATCATGAATGTCTATCTAGAGTTGACAAAATTTTCAATTAAATTGCAATTGCTGTGCATTGAATTGAATTTCTCAATAAGCAGAGAAATAGAAGATTGAGAACATGCCCATGGAGAGATGAGGTCAGAGAAAGCCCATTAGATTCTCATGTCCTCCCCGGGTTCTTGGGCCTCTACCCAGGCCTTCTGAGCCCTTCCACTGACAGCCAGTGTACAGCTCCTTGGTGCCAAGCCTTGTTCTGGGGTCTGGTAATACAAAGATGGGACACACGGTGCACACCTTTAATTCCAACACTGAGGAGGCATAGGCAGGTGGATCTCTGTGAGTTCAAGGCCAACCTGGTCTACAAAGCAAACTTCAGGCCAGATAGAGTTACTTAGTGAGACCTACCTCAAAAATGAATGAATGAATGAATGAATGAATGAATGAATGAATGAATGATTTTAAGAAAAGAGAAAGAAAGGAAGAGAAAGAGAGAAGAAACAATCACAGAAGGGGAGGTGAGAGAGAAAGGGCCTTTGCATTTCTCTGAGGGAGAAAAGTAAGGGCAGAGACCACACAAAACATTTGCATTCCTCAGAACTTGGAATAAATTAGACCAGGGTGGCATGGGGAGTAAAAATGGGCATGGCCAGGCCAACATTCTGTGACCAGGTAGTAGTAGCCTTAGAGTTATGACCTCACTATGACAAAAGGCAGAAAGTTAGAGGAGACAGTACAAAGGCCCTCAGACCAGACTAGCATCCACCCACCCATCCCTACACTTGCCACAGTCCTACCTAGGGGTGTCACCCAGTGGCTGGTGAAACATCTTCACACCTATTCCTTCAGTGACTCTCCCAACATTCTGAGGCCTGGTGAGGAAGGCTCTATCATCTCCACACCTAACTCTGGCCTCCTGGCTTGTCTTCCTGGACCATCTGTAGCCAGCAGTGGCCTACCTAGTCCATGTTCCCCATGTACTCCATGCTTACAAAGCACGGGTCCCAGGATCCACCCACAATGAGGCATCCCTCTTTGTGGGGCAGATGTCCCTCCTAAACATTCACCTGTCTGCCACTCCTCTATATATTCAAACAGGCATGCAAGTGTATGAGGGCTTCCTGAAAGCTGGGACAGGCACAGAACTACCTGAAGTCCACAGAAACCAAAACTGGAGCCAGCCCAGGACCCAGCATTAGGAAAAACAACTCTAGAGTGTGCTATTAACTGAAGCCTCTAGCTTAAAATGAATTTCTGCAAACTCAACCATCCATTTAACAATCCCTGACAGTTTGCTTGGCTCCAAACCACAGGTCAGTGCCTGCCTGGCCAGCTCCAGATAAAACCAGGCCCCTAAGGGGAATGGAATGCAGGCAAGCAGCAATCCTAGGTTTGGAGGGTTCAGTGGCATTAGAAGCCCTGCCTCCCCAACACACACAGGTCACAACTAAGCTAACACAGCAGAAGAGCCCAGGTGAGTGTTACTTGTGCAATTCTTTATCATGACACCAACTCAGAGCCCATCCCATGTCAACACCCTCTAGGTCCCCATTTGACCTAGGCAAGCATCTGTCTATTTGTGATGTAGTGCTTCAACTGAACACATTCACAGAGGCTCCCTGCATAACCATGTCAGGGAAGGGTTTCAATTGTTTCCTGCCTTTGCTTGTAAGGTGATAATTCCTACCAAACTAAAGAAGCACCTGCTTTCATTTCTACTACATTTTCTCAGCTGAGTCTGTATTTTCCAGAGTTCTCTCTGCTAAATGTTCTTTAACTTAACTGTGGAAGCTTGACTGCCTTAGTGGCACTGTATCACATTCAATTTCCATTCCAAGTTAGTAAGCTGGGACATGTTCTTAATGAGTGAAGTTCTTAATAACAGTAGATGTCTTAGGTTTTTTTAATTTTTATTTAATCGTTCAATAACATCTCCCAGGCTTTTCGTGCATACAGCTGTTCACAGAATGAATAGCTAAAATATGATCTATCTTTATAATGGAATATTCCTTAGCATGCACAAAGCTGAGTTCAGTCTACCACATAGAACCAGGCATGGTGGTACATACCATAGTAGACACTCAGCCCTGGAGGAGCGGAAGCAGGAATATAAAAAATTCAAGGTCGGCCTCAGCCAACTATCCAGCTGAAATTGGCATGGGCTACATGTCTCAAAACAATAAGTAAACCTGGGCATGGTGGCAAAGTCTTTAATCCCAGCACTCTGGAAGCAGAGGCAAGCAGATCTCTCAATTTGAGCCAGCCTGTTCTACAAAGATAGTGTCAGGACAGCCAGGGTTATACAGGAAAACACACACACACACACACACACACACACACACACCTAAAATGAAAATAAAAAAATTAAAATTAAAACAAAAATAAAATAAATAAAATAAAAGCTTCCTTTCAGTGTTCTTAGTTAAGTTTCTCTTCCTTCCTGCAAATAAAAACAAAAGCAACTTTGGAAAGAATGATTTATTTTACCTTGTTGTGGGGTATTCGCCAGAGAAGACAGCTCTGAAATGGGCATAAGCCAATAAAAAGAGTTTATTAGCCAGACCGTGACTACACTGGGTGTGGAAAATCGCAGCATACCACTGAGCCTTTTAAGCAACAAGTGTCCTGCGTTGAAATACTTCAGTTACTCAGAGTAACAAGAACAGCCAGAAGCAGAACTGCAGGAGCTAAAAAGCAAGGTTAGTACATCTTGCAAGTTTCCCAGAACTATATGGACTTGATGGATTAAGTCTTTGGTTTAGTTTTTGGCATGTGCTGCTGTCTACATGCTGAGTTTTACATGCAAAATGGCACTTCTATTATAGAATCAGTTGTGCCAATGTCTGAGGCCCTGTTACATGTAACTTTAGAGTTGTGGTCTATCATGAAAGGAAGTAGAACAGGAGTTAGAGCAGAGACCATAGAGAATTACTGCTTACTGGTTCTCTCAACATGCTTTCTTATACAATGTAGAACCACTGGCCCAGAGGTGGAACCACTCACAGTGGGCTTGGCCCACCCACATTGATTATTAATAACATGTCCCCCAGCTTGCTTATGGCCCAAGCTGAGGAAGGCAAATTTCTTTCCAGATGATCCTGGTATGTGTCAATTTGGGGAAAAAAAAAAAAAAAAACTAAACAGCACACTCCAGATACTCAGGAAGTCTGATGAAGAAATAAGGGAATTAATGAATGGAAAAGTAAATGGCTGTCTCACGCTGCACTCAAATCTGTCCACCAATGCCACCAACAACACCAACCCCAGCATCGCTGACACTGCTGGGGCTCAGCCAGTTCTGAGAAGACCTGAGGTGTCCACTCTCACTAGGCAAAAGCACTGCATCTCTAGGCTTCATCCTGTCACTGAGGACTATGGGAGGGAGTTCTATTTTCTCTGAGACAAAGGCTGGCTTGGAACTCACTCTAGCTAGCTTCAAACTCATGGCATTTTTCATGCCTCATTTCCCAAGTGTTCAAGTTATAGACATTAGCCATCATGCCTAGCTAGTGAGGCCTTTTTGGTGGTGGTGGTGGTAGAGGTGGTGATAATCATGCTGGTGGAGGTGGTGATAGAGGAGGAGGTGGAGGAGGCAGTGATGGTGGAGGTGGTGGTGGAGGAGTTGTTGTTGGTGGTGGTGGTGGTGGTGGTACCAGGAATCAAGTTCAAGGCCTCACGGCAGAGCACAAACATGATAACCATTTGAAATGGGCCAAAACCTACGTTTACGAATTAAGTCTGTGAAAGGTTCACTCCCTTTGCCCATAAACTTCAATGGCAAAAAATAAAATAAAATAAAATGCCCAGGACTACAATCTACTTGAGTTAAAGATTGAATAATAAAAACAGTATTATTTTCTCTAGTAGAAAGGTAGCTAAATACTTAGAAGTGTGGGAAGTGGCTAAACAAATGACAGTGTAGCTGTTCAGCCCTGGAAGCGTGTACAAGAGCAGACGGTAAACAGGCAGATTAGGGCAAGGGTCTGGGACTGCACACCAAGCAATGTGCTAGATACCTACACTCCTGCCTGAGTGGCTGCATGAAACACAGTAACCCCCCTGGGGACACAGTGGCTGGTTGGGCTCCTGCCTTCACATTTTCCTGTACTTGCTCATTCTGAGGCACTGAAAAAGTATTCATTCCTCGAGAGCCAGAATACCACTAGCCAGAATCATAAAGATTGAACAAGTATGAGGTAAAGGCAGCAGTGACGGAGAAAAAAATAACTATTAAAACATGTAGATGACTTGAGCTTTTGTTTAATTTATTTTAGATCTCTTATTTATTTTTATGTGTCTGGATGTTTTGCCAGCATGTACTATACGTACCACATTGTTGCCTAGTGCCCCGAGACATCAGAAGAAGGGCATCAAATCCCCTGAAATTGGAATTATAAATGCTTGTGAAGTACTATGTGGGTGCTCAGAACTGAACCCAGGTCCTCTACAAGAGCAACAATTGCTCTTAACCACTGAGCAATCTCCAGCCTGTTTTGCTTTTTGCTGTTGTTGTTTCTTCTTTTTTTCTTTTGTTTTTGTTTTATGGGTTTTTGGGGGGTTTTTTAGGGGT